GATCTGTTCGCGGAGCGCCCGTTCTTTCTCTGCCCCTTTCCTGAGCCGCTCGGCGTCCGCAGCGCGCGCCCCCTCGTACTCTGCTTCCATCACCTTCGCCAATTCCCGCGTCCACATCTCGTGGTCCCGGTACATCCTATTCCACTCTTCGCTACCTCCTCGGCGGAACTTTCTCTCGCTGCCCGGCAGTCCGCGAGGGACGCCTCCAACCCACGCACGCGCTCTGCGTTGCCGGCACCGGCCCCTGCATATAGGCATGTCTTCAGATCGTCGCTGACTCTCTTCAGGGACGCGTCGGCCTCCCCGAGCCGACCTGCGGTCTCTCGCAGCCGTCCCTCGCTTTCGAGCATATCGGCCTCGCTCTTCTTCAGGAGGTTCTCGAGCTTTGTCTTCTGCGTGGTGAGGTCGGTGAGCTGCTGGCCTCCGTTCGCCAGGCGTCGTGATGCCGTGTCGACGAGGCTCTCGACCGTCTGCGCGGGATCGACTCCGAGCGCTCTTGTCAGACGGCCTCTGAGGCGCGCCGCGCCCGCCGTCGTGCGGGACGTGACGGCGCGTAGCTGCGTCAGCATGAGAGGGACGGGGCCCGGGTCCTGGGGGGGAACGGACGGCGTGTCTTCGAAAAGTATCCGCGCGGCGCTCTCCAGGTCGCCCGAGATCCGGACGATCCCGTCCGACACCGCCACGACATGTTGCATGGCTATCGAGGCCGTCTGCGTCGTCAACGTCGGCGGCTGGACGGCTCTCGAAACGGTGGCCTGCAGATACTCAACGACCTGCCTCGCATCGTGGTACGAGTTCCGGCGTCGTTTCAGGAGCTCCACCGTTGACTTGGTATCTAGCTTCTCCGGCGCACCGTATCCCATGGCCACATCCCCGTCGAGCTCGCGGAGCAGCGCGGTCGCGTCCGCCACGTCGTTCTGGCCCGTCTCGATCAGCAGTGCGTTGACGTGCGCCTCCGCATCCGCCGCGGTCCGCATGTCGGTGCCGCAGACGAGCCTGACGAGCCCCGGGCACTCCAGGGCGACGGGCGCCCCCCCGCGCGCGTTCAGGACCTGGGGCGTGAGCGTCAAAAGCGTCGTCTCGGTCGAGAGCGGCGTGGCGGCGTCTCCCTTTCCGAGGTGGGTGAGACATTGCCCCCGGACGTTCCGGACGAACTCGAGGAGGAACCTTACATCTCCGGGGATTACACAGTCGTTGAACTCCCAGGTGGGTTCCCTCACATACAGGGTGTTTCTGAGGTCCACCAGGTCGCGGTCCGAGCCGTGGGCCATGCCGGCGCAGAGCTCCAACTTTGCGGCCAGATCCTCGCAGCGTCTCTTGAAACCATCACCGTCCCCCACCTTCGACCGTATGTGCTCTTTCAGGGCCGGGATGGCGGCCCGGACCAACACCCCTCGCGCATCGAACGCCTCCCCGATCTTCTCGAGCACGCCCCCGGATGCCAGGAACCGGACGGAGTTCGTCCGCAGGAACCGGATGGCGCAGTCGGCATCGCGTTCGTCCCTGGAGCAGCTGGTCTTATCGAAGCCGTAGGTCCCCAAATTTCTCAAGATCTCATCTATGCCCTCGACCAGCTTCCCGTGATCGTGCACGATCTCGTCGATCGATTTCAGCCCGGTTCCGGCGTAGAGGTGCTCCATCCGTCGAATCGCGTCCTGAGGGCCGACCGCGGCCGGTGCCGGCACGTTCGCGC